TTAGTGTGTGGCAAATTTGTAAACTTTTTTTATATCATAAGATGGCGAACGAATAAGCGGCCACCTGAATCCCCCAAAATGGCGAAGCGACCGCTGCTCATAGACATTCGCAAAAGCGGATGCGTTGCCTACCCTTAATCGACGGAGACGCACATAAAGAGGATGTTTCCCCTTCCTATGCATCACCTCCACCGTCATATTCCCGTTTCCTTCATATCCTTTTGTTATAAGAAAAAGGGTGGGAAAAACTAAGAAAACTTAGTATTATGGGCAAATCTTTTAATATTTTTGAAGTCACTTAAACACAAATTAGTAAAATAACTTGACAATTTAACGGTTTCCTCACATAGTTCTATTTTTACATTTAAAAGACTTTAGGAATATTCTCACTTTTCCAAGAAATCCAGTACCACCTGTGATGAATACAGATTTTCCCGCGTAAAAGTCAGCTACACTCCGATGGTAACATTTATTCCTGGTTAATTTAAACACAGTTACAGCATTCCTGGAAAGAGGAAATGTAACGAGTGTATCCCGTTGCTGATAAGCCCATCGATCTAACAGTCTATCGGGAATTTCCATTGGATCCATTGTTTGTATGGATTCAATCAGCTTATGGGAAAAATATATAAAAGTGAAGACCACACAGTTATTGCATGCACGTTCCGTTCTTTAGGTACAATACCGTAGACAGTAGACGTAAAGGAAATGCAGAATACGTACCAGAGACGATAGTATAGATAGTTTTACTTGATTTGTTAAGCTTTATTACTAATTTTTAACTCTTATTTTGAATAATAATTTATTACTCACTTGTATCTTGTTTTCCGACACGTTTCGACAGATATATTTCTTAAATTAAACCGCACAAAACTTGACAAGAACATAGTTTCTAACGTTGAGTTAAGATAACAAAATAATAGTAAATTCAACTCTTTTATACTTCAATAAAGCGTCAAAAAAACCGAACCAATTAAAGGTTAATTTATGCAAAAACCTTTAACTAAGCCCCTAAAATTAACATAAGCACAGACACCACGCATTCTTGGAATGTCGAAGTGATAACGAAAGTAAGTTGACTGTGGTTTTGTTACTTTAAACTACGCATTCTACATTTATTTAATTACTTACGTAACAGTATACCTTGTACTGTTATGTAATTAAGTGAATTGTACTTAGGTATCGTTATTTTCTTTTCGTATTCATCGTATACAAAAACAACTACATCTATCGACTTAACATTCCCGCGTAAATCTACTTTTTACCAGCTACCTTCCAGTCCAAATCCCATCAAAACCGGTCCATCAGTTCCAGAGATAGCACTTTTCACTTTGTTAATATTCACATTGGATGAATACTTCTATATTCACTATTTTGTGACGTAACGCCTTCATCATCATTACCTAACTATATATCATCACCAAGGGGATAAGGTGATCCGCTATTACACATTACATTATCTGTTACATATTACATACTAAATAAATTATATCGTTTCGTTTCGATGCTTCTAAAACAGCGACTAGCAAGGAAGTATATAAAAACTAAACAAAGGGACTTGTTTTTATGTAGCACTAAAAATAATATAAATAAAAAATTACCATAAAAAAACTGTTACAAATTAACATTTGTATACTTAATACACTATTACTATGGTTACGATAAGATAACCATCTCTGGTTCATTCACACAATAACGACAATGTAACTAATAAAAAAAAACATAAAAAACCCAAATTATAACCAAAGCTACTCATTAAGTAAACGCAATATTTTCAAACTGTGAATATGTACATTTCATTTGATAATTTCAGTTCTCTAATCTATACTATTATAATAAAGCGTAAACACACACTTCTTTGTTGCCTAAGATGTCAGCAATTACAGCATATTTTTGAATAATTCTTTTTTTAATTAAAAGCCCTACACTTTCGTCATGCGTAAGGCTATATTTTTTCACGCCATTAAACTTAGGGGGTAAATATTTTGGATAAAACTCTAATGTGGAAAAGAGACCAAAAGTTGCTGCCAACATCAAGAAAGAAAGATTGCTAAGGTTTGTCATGTCATTTTGACATTTGCTATTGATAATTTGACAAATGTAAACATTACAATAAAATTTTCATAATTTCATGCGGATGAAGCCGCAGGGGAACAGCTAGTTTACGATATAAATTTTAGCATGTTTGATCATGTTAGATAATTGTCCGTTAAAATTAGGGTGTGTACTGATGCGTTTCCCGATAGACTGATGGTTCCAACGGGAAACATCTATACTGACTGACGTTAGGCGCTACGGAGTGTATTCTGATCGTACGGTTTGCACTGATCTGGTCTGGAGTGCAAGGAATGCTGCCGTGTTATAGCTCGTAACTTTGGAGAGTACCTTTAAGTACAAGATGTTAATGTTATGGCATAACCAGCGGCCTTTTGCCTGTTGTTTTCCCCTGATATTAAAACTATTTGGTTATACTATTAAGGGAGATAGAGAGAATATGTATACTTGTCGCATAACTTTTATACCTTCGTGATACCTACCTGTCCTTATCCGAATCACGGTTCGGTTCGTTTCCATACCTATATTTTTACATACACTTATTATTTACAATGTTACTGTTTTAGAATCTTACTAATCTTACTAATATTATAAATGCGAAAGTTTAGATGTATAGATGGATGGATGGATGGATGGATGTTTGTTAGCGTTTGTAGCCTAAACGGCTGAACGGATCTCCATGAAATTTGGCACAGGTTTAGAGCTTAGTCTGGAAGAACACATAGGCTAATTTTTACCCCGGGAATAGTTACAGTTCCAGTGGGATTCATTAATTTAGTTTTTTAATGTTTACTCGATCATTCGACAATGGTTCAACATATCTTATTGAAATTTGGCGCAGAGTACACATGGGATAAGCTTCATCCCCGAGAAATGTCCGGTTACCGAGGGATATGTAGCTTTTTGCAATTTATATAGTTTGTATGTTTTCGAATACCACGCGGACGAAGTCGCGGGCAACAGCTTATATTTGAATAAAATACTTTCAGTTAGCAATAACATCTGGCATTCATTAGTGAATAAACTTTTGTAGATATTTTTTTATTAATTTAGGTTTTTTAAACTAAGGCTTTTGTTGTGTTTAACTACTTGTAATGTTTTAGTTATCCCTTTTTTTTCTTGATTTTATTGTTATATGAATGCTATGTTACATGTGTAAATTATGGAACGCCTACAAACTTAGGTTGTTCAGTAATGTGTAAAGTAAATATTGTAATTTGTTTTGATTTAAAGATACGTAAAAGAAACTAACAATAAAGTAATGAAACTGTAAAACCCAATTAGTACTCTCCCAAGAGCAGTCGTATAGAACTATTTTCTACGAGGTCCCACAGCTGTCTATTCTCCTAACCTGAACTATGAATGGACAATTATGTGGTTTTTTGCTTTGGTTCTTCTATAAATAATTAAGATTACAAAGACTATTTAAATTCGGTAATTTCTTTGTACAAAAAGTATTTTACTTGAACACAGCTATAATTCAATGTAATTAATTCAATATTCCCACAGATAAAATTAAAATGTTTTGTGCTTAAGTTTATTTCATTATAATTTAAATTTGCATTAACCGGAACAAACAAAATATGAAGGTATTGTGATATTTATTAAATTTTAAACAAAACTACTCTGACGTAAGTTTGTTAAAAAACAAAGACGTCATGAAAATAACAATGAAATCTAAAAAAACGTTGACGGTATTACAAAACTGTTGTAAGCTATTAAGAGAAAAGTTCACTACTTACAGAAGTATGTAGATTCGATCCAGAACACTCCATTTGTATGGATAAAGATAAAAGTTCTAGAACTCGCATAACGACGTTGCACCATTGACCCACTCGCCTGATAAAACATCACACAGAAGACAGGAATGAAATGAAAGTAATTCCGATTTTTGACGATATCCAGAAGACTAAATTCTCTCCCTTTTTCAATTTTTTTTTAATATCATAAGGCGGTAAACGAGTAAACGGCCACCTGTATCCGCCAAAATGGCGAAGTGACCGCGGCCCATAAACACTCGTATTAACGGATTTGTTGCCTATGCTTAATCGACGCACATGCACATAAAGAGGAAATTTTCCCTTCGTATGCATCTCCTCCAGCGTCAAATTCATGTTCCCTTCCCATCTTTTTCTTTTAAGAAAAAGGGTGGGAAGGAAAAGGGACTTATGTTGGGCCTCCGGCACCACTCTCATCAGACGAAACGCGGAGTTGCTTCTTCTTTTCGCCTGTCTTCTGTGTGGTCGTGGTATTGCAGCGGGTGAGCCGAGACATGCCAAGACGTTAAAGCGGGCTCTTCCACTGATAAGTTTCTTTTAATTTAAGAAAGCATGAAAGTGTCATTTGACCTTATTTAAAATGGGTACAAAAATACTTAACAACTTTAAGTTTTCTATAGTATAATTCAGTTCCTACTGACAATTTTACAGAAGTTTAACTGTTTAGTTAAAACTGTGTATATGTGGGCATTTTAAATTTCAGTTCAAGTGTACATTTAAATTGTAACGGTAAAGCTAGCATGTAACGGGTTTAACACATTAAGTTAAGAGAATACGCATCGGGGGCACTGTTCAAAATATAAAAAAAAACCCAAAAACATTTACTTGATGATTAAAATTACTTGATGAGAAGGTTTTAAGAAATAAAAGAATGGTACGGTTTTCGCAAATTTGACAATTTAGCATTCACATATTACACAAAATTAGAATCATTGTGTAGTTGCGCTTTGCGTTTTTTTCTCAACCTGTTCAGACTTCGAACTTAATAAAAAATTAACTTTAATACTTTTTCCTTAAAACGATAAGGATACTTCTCTTACTTATTTACGAGGCACATCTTGCATAGTACCATTCATGTGTTGATCGTTGTTGGCAACTCACGCGCCCTTAAGCATTTTACATATGCAGTGAATGTAGCTGTTTTATTGTCTATAACTTTACTTGTTTATTCTGCTTTCTGTAGATACGGTAAGTTAATTTAAATCGATGCTAGTAACAACAAAACTTTATTTTTTTGTTGAAATTTTTAATACTTCCCTTCTGTGAAAGTTTATTCAACACTTTTACGTTATCAATTTTTTAATACATTAAAAAAGGCTTTTAAAATATTAACACAATATATTATGCACAAAAACAACCTTGTTTTGAGCGTTACAATTCAATAATTGCATTTATTTTCAACAGATGTTTTCAAGCAATATGACAATGGATGTCACCAAAGCTGGAACTTCCTATCTCTCCGTACCTGAGTTCTACGCAGGCAAGACTGTCTTTATAACAGGAGGTACAGGTTTTCTCGGAAAAGTAAGTAATATTTCATTCAGAATTTCTCACATAGACACTTGTTATATGCACTGTCATCTTTTTGACTAAGAGAAAAAAGAAGTAACAATCAAAATTTGTATCACACCAATAGTAAGGTAATAACGTCTTTGCACGAACGATGTGGCTCGCCTGGTTCGATGCAACCATACAAGACAAGCGTCAAGTAGTCGCAATTTCGCGTATCGTCTGTGTTCATGAGGCAACTTTAGTCCACTTTCCCTTCCCAAAATTTTTTTTAAAGAAACGTTGAGAAGGATTTAGCGAAGGAGAATAATGTAAAATATCTTTCTGTACGTAATATATGAACATATGTAATTACAAGGATAAGCCTTATTAAGGATATATACTGTTAAAAAAACTGTCCAAAAATGTGTTAACACTTCTCATTTTCTTCTAGTAACATATAACATATGGGTATTTATTTTCTTCATGTTTTAACGGCTTCTTGCAAAATAATATCAGTAAATAAAAAAAAATCAGACAAATACGTCAACTAATTTTGTAAATTTTTCCCGTTTCAGGTATTGATTGAAAAATTACTGTACAGTGGTGGAAACATTGATAAAATTTATGTATTATTGCGGGAAAAGAATGGAAACGAAGCAAAAGAAAGACTTAAGAGATTAATTAATAGCCCTGTAAGTTTTAAAATTTATGTCAATAAGCGTGTTGAATCTTTATATTTAAGTGCACAATAGTCAAAAAGTTAAAAGTCGTGTTTAGACAAAATCAAAAAATATACAGTATGCCTCCAAACTTACGATATGATTTAACCCTTTTCTTGTTAGTGTATCTGTAGAGATACATCAATTTTTTTTCTAAACACCTTGGGTCATCAAGGTTAAGTGCTATGAATATTATTTTGCCAAGTTAAGGGCTAACAGTCCAATTGTAACAGTTAAAATTATAGGCCAGGGGCTTAACATAGCATTAATATAATTAAATATTAAATGCTATATTTTACTCTTTACATTGTTTTTTTTATCATAATGCTGTGTTTTTATTTTTCGTCATTTTTTCTCTACAAATTCCTATTGTTTCATGTGATACGTATTTATAAATAAACTTGAAACTTAAATTAAATCCCTTACTAAAATAATAATAAAATACGAGAAGTCTAAAATACTTTTACAACGCATTTAAATTATTTTTAAATCAACTTAAGATATGACATTAACTTTTACAGGTATTTTCTAGACTGAGAGAGGAGAAACCTGAGAGTTTATCGAAAATAAAACATATCGTAGGCGATATCTCTGTCAACAATTTGGGCTTAACTTCTAGCCATGAAGTTTTATTAAAAAAGGTAATTACACTAATATTTATTTTTACTATCATTACAGAAGACATAAAAAGAACTTGATTTTAAAAAAAACTATTAACAAGGCACTTGGATAAACCAATACATCTAATATAATGTGATAAATGCGAAAGTTTAGATAGATGGATTTTGTTAGAGTTTGTAGCCTAAACTGCTAAACAGATCTTGATGTAACTTGGCATTGTTGTAGAGGATAGTCAAGAAGAACACATAGGCTTCTGACGTATTTTTAACTCCACGAAGACGGAGTCACGGGCAAAATCTAGTAAGCTAATACTAACTTGAATTAACGCTCATTTCATGTTATGACTATTCTCGAGATTAAAGTAGTTTCAATAAAATGATTTAGTTACGAGATTATTTTGTCCTAATAATCTAAAATCAAAGTCAAGGTATATTTTGATTTATTAGTAATAAAAACCGTTTAATAATTGGTTAATGATAGTTATTACAAAATTAAAGAAAATTGCAAACGTTGTAATTTGGGTCAATGTTAATTCGTAAATTTGTTAATTTAGTTCGTTCTTTTGTATACGAGTT